ATGGGGACTCAGATATCTCTTCAAGATCTTGATTTCAATTCCTTTGGATCAATACCCAGAAATGGGATTGCTGGATCATAGAATGGTTCTATTTTTACTTATTTGAGGAAACTACACACTGTTTACCATAATGCTGTACCAATTTACATTCCCACCAATAACATACCAGGATTCCCTTTTCTCCAGATCCTCACTAATGCTTATTTCATTCATTTATTTTGTTTAATAGTAGCCATCCTAACAAGTGTGAGATATCTCATTGTGGTTTTGATTTGCCTTTCCCTAATGATTAGTGATGTTGATTTCCTTTTCAAATACCTATTGGGCATTTATATATCTTCTTTAGAAAAGTGACACTATTCAGGTCTTTGCTTATTTTTAAATTGGTTTGTTTTGTTTTGCTATTGAATTGTAGGAGTTCCTTATATATTTTGAATATTAAACCCTTATCAAATATATGATACGCTAATATTTTCTCCCATTCTCTAGGCTGTCTTTTCATTTTGTTGACTGATTCCTTCATTGTGCAGAAGCTTTATAGTTATATTACCTACTAGTTTATTTTGCTTTAGTTTATTGTACTTTTGGTGTTACATCAAAAAAAAAAAACATTGCTAAGATCAATGTCAAGGATTTTCTTTATGTTTTCTTCTAGATATTTTATGTTTTTTAGGTCTTCTGTTTAAATCTTTAATCCATTTTGAGTTGATTTTTGGGTATCATGAAGATATGATCCCAGTTTCTTTCTTTCTCTCTCTCTTTCTTTCTTTCCTTTCTTTCTCTTTCTTTCTTTGTTTCTCTCTTTCTTTTTGTTTCTTTCTTTTGCCTGTGGACGTCCAGTTTTCCCAAACTATTTATTGAAGAAACTGTCTTTTCCCCATTTCTTTGTTCCCTTGTTGAAGATTAGTTAACTATGTATGTGTGGGATCATTGGGCTTTTTATTCTGTTTTATTGGTCTATGCATTTGTTTGTTTGTTTGTTTGTTTAACTTTTTTCAAGGTTTATTTATTTTGAGAGAGAGAGAGAGAGAGAGAGAGACAGAGCGTGGGTGGGGGAGAAGCAGAGAGAGAGGGAGAATGAAACTGAAGCAGGCTCCTGGCTCTGAGCTGTCAGCACAGAGCCTGATGAGGGGCTTGAACTTACCAGTTGTGAGATCATGACTGAGCTGAAGTCAGACACTCAACCAATTGAGCCACCGAGGTGCCCCTATGCATGTTTTTAATGCAAGTAACATACTATTTGAATACTACATAGCTTTGTAATATAATTTGAAATCAGGAAGTGTGATGCTTCTAGCTTGATCTTCTTGCCTAACTATTCCTTTGGCTATTGGAGTCTTTTGTGTTTCTGTATGATTTTTAGGATTTTGTTTTCTATTTCTGTGAACAATGACATTGGAACCAAACTTCCTACACTATCTTGACACTCTTCTCTTTGTATTGCAGCATATTTCAACCCCATGCTACATCTCTTACCTTCCTGGATATTATCTAAATTTAATATTCTTATTGATTGAATATGATTGAGTATAAATATATAAAAGCATTATGAAAGTACTAACAAAAACAGAAAAAAAACTACAAAGATAAATAAAGCATAATCCAAGAAGATAAGCTGGTATTAAACCAATAAAATGAAAATTACATGAGAAGTATGCTAAATGTTTGAAGGCAGATTTCTTTGAAAACACACAAAAACCAGTTTAAACAACATGGATCTCTTAGAATTGTAGAGAATTCTATGATAATGAACACTTTTAGCAATACATTTATTCAGGAAATCAGTTCAGGATATCCTGAATAATGTATTGTAACTGGATCATGAAGTGGAAAAACAGAATTAAATGTGAGACTAAAACGACATCTTACGTTAGAATCATACTATAGAGATTCCTGAGTGCCTTTCTAAGTATTTATTGAAAAAATACACACACACACACACACACACACACACACACACACACTTCACACATATGTCTGCAAGCAGGATTGTGTTGATGTTTTCCTAATGTTTGGGATTCATGACTGTTTGCATTTATTCACTGTACATAAGAATAATGTTTCTAGACCATTAGCAATGAAAACTTCTTTCTTCCATCCCAACTTATGTTTAAATATTATTTCTTTATACAGAATGATTGTTCTAATATCTTGGAAAATGAGAGTTCTGTAGCACTGAATTGCTTCTCATTATGAAGATAATCAGGTTTTTGTTTTTTTGTTTTTTTTTTTTTAAGTTTATTTACTTAGCTGGGGAGGGGCAGAGGGAGGGAGAGAGAGAGAATCCCAAGCAGGCTCCACACTGTCGGCACAGAGACTGATGCGGGGCTCAAACTCATGAATGGTGAGATCATGACCTGAGATGAAATCTAGAGTCTGCCCCTCAACCGACTGAGCCACCAGGTGCCCCTTAGCATGAAGTTAATCAGTTCGACCATCACTTACTCTTCCTGAGTATGTGCGGCCTCACTCCCCTGTTTCCCCAGGCACTTGCCCATCCAGTTCTGTATTACAGTCAGGATCCCCACATTTCAGTAGAGTTTTATTTTTGAAATAAAATCACAAGTTGTATTCCAGTTTTCAGCAATTACTTAGAAAAAGAAAATGGTACATAGAAGAGAAAAATGGCTGGCTTGTTTATGTAGGGTGCATGCACACAGGTTAAATTTTAAATGAATACAATCTTAAAATGAATGCCAATGTTCTTCTACCATTAGTCCATCTTAAGAAATTATTGTGAATGAAAGAGATAAGTTGCTGCATTTATTACTACATTTGAGTATAGTTACATTTATTATTTCGTGAGAAAAAAATAAAATTAATTTTGAGTCTGATGAAGGAATTAATGGTTCCTCCATGCAGTTGTGTGATGGACAGAAAGGGGGAATTGAAACCTGATATTTCATTCAACAAAACGAAAGAGTCACTTAGGTTGATATATGGAGAGTTGAGAAATCCCCTGAGAGACAAATAAATGAGCACTTAATTGTGAGCTCAGTGCCCTAGGTTGTAATCATTTGATTAAAAAATGCAATACGTATATACTGTAAAGAAATTATAATTAACATTCTAAAATGCTTCAGTTAATTTAAAAAAAATTAGTGACTTATCACCATTCTTTCTTTACATTTAAAAAAAGCAGTTTATTTCTGAAATTATTATTTTTACGTCTGAAAATTATTATTCCAGTAAAGGTACACTAATGCAAAAGTTAGAATGATTTAATTGCTTTTTCCCCATTTTCTACGGAAAAACAATAAAAGAATTTTTAAAATGATTAAGATATTGTAGAAAACAAAACTCTAATAGAAAATAGGTAACATTTTAAAAAGGTTTTGCATTGAAAATTTATCTGTGAAATGGCCATTCCTCTTTATTTTGAGATGTTAATAACCAAACTATTGGTTTTTACATCTCAATCAGACTATTGAGATGTTAATAACCAAACCAAACATCCAAACAAGCAAAACGCTATTTTCCTTTATAAAATACTCTTCTTCCTCTTGTCTTCTAAGCTCTCTGTGTGCTATGACTTTTAATTAATTTTTTTTCTTTTTTACTAACTACAATATTTGATTCTCCCAAGTTCTAGGGTCTTCCTAACTCCTAAACCATTCCTTTTAACTGGATTCTGTTGCCTAGCTCTACCTTCTTGGTTGAATTTTGCTCAGACACCAAATTAATATCTATAAAACCAGATCATGTTCCTCAGCTGCTCAAAATCCAGCTCTCGAGCACTATTTTCCAGCTAAAAGGACCACATAGTACTATGTACATTTTAGGTAAATTATTTACTTTATCTTTACTTAAGAAAATCCTTTCTCACCATTCTTTATTATGGCTAATGAAAATTTTCTCTTTTTAAAAACTTTCTTTTACTTACAGCATTTTGATGTGTCTATTATTGTACTTACAATATTTAATTCTTATATTTAAAATAATAGGAGTGAATAACATTAAATTGTTTTTAAAAATCATTTTATATTTTAGTTTTGCTCTATTTGCAGAAACTGTATCGTAGCATATTTTCAATGTTCATTCTATATTCAAGATTCATTTGGTAATTCAAAAACAACAACTATTGGACAAATGTTATGCTGATCCTTAAGAATTAAAAAAAATGTATATGTTGACTACTTTTTAAAAAGCCCACATTCTAGTAAATCAGTCTGACATTTAAGCATATAATCACACTACATTGTGATCCATGCTGTATTAGAAGACAGAAAGGTTATTTTGTTCATATTAAATCAGAATGTATCAATGTATAAAAACATACAAAGAGCAGGATTGAAGAGTAAGAGTTATTCACTACAAAGATAAAAGTGGGGTATGGAATTTGGGGCCAAAATGTTAACATGAGCAATATTTTGAGATAGAAAACTGTCCCTCCAACTTATTTTTTTTCAATAAATGGGAACAACAAATTACTAATTTACAAGTATAAACAGAACTTGTGGAATCAATTTATATTCAGCATGTTGCTTGGTATATCTAAATTTATTTTAAAAGTGTTGCTAATGGGGCGCCCGGGTGGCGCAGTCGGTTAAGCGTCCGACTTCAGCCAGGTCACGATCTCGCGTTCCGTGAGTTCGAGCCCGCGTCGGGCTCTGGGCTGGTGGCTCGGAGCCTGGAGCCTGTTTCCGATTCTGTGTCTCCCTCTCTCTCTGCCCCTCCCCCGTTCATGCTCTGTCTCTCTCTGTCCCAAAAATAAATAAATAAAAACGTTGGAAAAAAATTAAAAAAAAAATAAATAAAAGTGTTGCTAATTGAATTGTTCACAGTACATTTATACTTGCCTAGGTTCAAATCCCCTGACAGAAGCACCTTGTCCTCTGAAAAAGCAGTGAGATCAGAATTCCAAATTTCTGGTTGCTAACTAGAAAAAACAAACAAACAAACCCTCAAGCTTTATTTATTGTTTAAGGTACACTATAGCCTGGGGGCAGCATTTCAGATTGCTCTGAAGGAACTCCGGAAACTTGTCAGTTTACAGGGGATTACATGCAAAAGGGAGAAGCGGTTATACAGTTTGCAAGTATAATTGTGCATTATAAGGTATAATTTGTTTGTAAAAATTAAGGTTTACTGATTTCCACATAGACACATGGAAGACCATTAATACATTATGTTTCTATCATGTCTGATTGCTAAAAATATTGCCTGCATGCCTCCACTGAAGTGGTTTTCCAGTTCTTTTGTTTGTTTGTTTCCTCTTGAGGTCACTGAGACGGTCTCCATAGGCTGACAGTCCCCTACTCAGTTTTAGTACACATTCTGTTCCTTCAACAAGCTTGGACAATTGTAACCTTATATTTTACTTCTGCCTTCTACACGTTTTATCCTAAGAAGCAACTGTTGCAACTTTATAGGCTTGAAATGGCACCTTGACAGTCACTTTCTGGCTCATTCTCTCCTTTCTGCTGACTGGCGTTGCGATACTGAAGATATGGGAGCATGATGGAAATACTATATGTACGTAAGTGAATAAGAAAGACCAGGATAAATAAAATTGTCTTCAACCAAACCATCATAAATACATTACTATTTTAGCACTGAATGATCAAATAATTAGATTTTTTTGTACCTTTGTCTCTAAGACATCCAGATAGGGCAGAATGTAAATTTTGGTAAGTTAAAAAACAAAACAGAACAAAACGAAACTATATTTTGTCTCTCTCCCACAAAAGATAGCTTTCATATCATGCTTAATTTCTCTAGAAATCTAATTATTAAAAAAAAGTTATGTTGATAGCATATCTTTTAAAGTAGGAATAGGCATTATTAAATGAAGACAACATTGGACAAAACTAGTAGCAAAAAAATGGCCATGGATGTGTAAAAGTGCTATATTTACTTTTACATATAAATGAACTAGGATGGGTGTGTATTCTCTATAAGAGAATGCTGAGAATGTCAGTCACATCATACTTGACAATAAGTCTTTTTCATGTAGTTACTCAAATAGCCACACCCCTGGATTAAATCAATGTTAATAAAACAAACTGCAATATGAATACTTATCACTATTAACTAGCATGAAGTAAATATGTTTTTACTAAGATGTTACTCAATGTTTTAACGATGAGAGTTTCCTGGGACTAGCAGCAGAAGCGTGTGGACACGTGGCATCGCATCATAATTGAAGTGTATAAAGAGAGATGAATGGGCACACAAATCCCACAATGCCCTTGACCACTTTACTTAAGTGAAGTCTTTATTTTTTTCTAAGTAGGCTCCACATCCAATGTGGGGCTTGAACTCCTGACCCTGAGATTGAGTCTTATGCTCTACTGACTGAGCCAGCCAGGTGCCCCTTAAGTTAAGACTTTTATCAGTATACACTATGCAAAGAAATGTCCTATGTCATACTTACCTGAATAGATAGATATTAGTAATTCCTGATAAGGCTGATTTAGGAAAACATCTCATTTTTATCACACAATTTTTTTTTTATAGCAAGAGAATATTAGGACTCATTAAAAAGAAAATGTTAAAGGAATATGCAAATAAAATCTAGTCATATATTGTTATGTACTTTGTCTAAATGCTATGGTGTCCAAGTTTTTTCAAGGATTTTTTTTAATTTGTTAGCCTCAAAAAAAAAGTAAATTTCCCCTTAAGATAGCACTGAAGATTTGTATTCTTCTCATTGAAACTCAGGAACATCCATAGTGATGTTCACTTAATTGACAAAATGATTATACATAACAGTATACTTTTTCCTGCAGTCTATAATATTTTCCAAGAAAATGAAGAAAGAGTTCTGTGTAGCATTTCTGTTTTACAATATCATGACATAAGTTTGAATTCTGTGTCTTTTTTTGTTTTAAAATACCTAGAAAAATTAAGAATAAACATGTAAAAACAAGAGGGGTTTTAGAGATTTTACAAAAGTATAGGATGGTTTAAAAATGGTGTTCTTATTTTTATGGTCAAAAATGAGATAAGCTATATGAATTTAATCAATGCTATTTTCAGACATTAAAGAATCAAAGATTAGAGTGGCATAGTTTTTACAAAAAAATGTCCAAGAAATATTTTTACATGTTGGACTTGGCAATTTTCAGTAAAGAAAAACAGAAACAAGAACAAAAATCCCTTGTTTCCCACTGACTCAGTAGCAGCAAAACAGAATAGCTTATCTTTACCATTATGTGAGCTCCCTGCCTGTACAGTGATTTGGGTCATGATGAATATAGTCAAGCACGTAGATATCCCTGTAAAATAAGTTAACTGATTGATACCATGGTAAAACATGTTTCTAGAATGTCAATTGGAAAGAAACTTTTTCAAATCAGGTTTTAAATTTATGAATTCATTCTAAAAACATAAGAGAACATGTTACGAGAAATTTCTCTTGGATGTTAGTCTTCTTTGTCACCCACACTTTATAATGCATGTTTGCTCTCTAGGAGTCATTTGATGATTTTTCTTAGATTCTTGGTTTTGTTTATGTATCTGCTCCTCAAATTTTACCTCAGAGCAGGTAAATTGACATGCACTCTGTCTTCTGTTTTAACAAATAAATAGGTGAGAATGCAAGGGACGTGGAGCAGACTATGGGTCTACATCATAGACGCAAATGGAGCTACAGACTTACTCTCTTTCAACTGTCTATGGATGGGGCTTTTGGTTGAGTAGCTGAATCAACACAGACAAAATGAGCAAGAATGTAGCTGCTATGACGATTGCCTGGAGTTGTTATGATGATTCTGCCATGTTGCTATTTTGGTTAAATTGTATTCAGAAATGTTTATACTAGGACCACAGAATTACAGAAGCTTAGACTTGAGTCCCCAGAGCCTCTATTAGGCATTGACTCTGAAAGGAGGAGAAGAGTTAAGAGAAACCTAACAAGAATAAAACCTTGTTTGCTTGCTGCCTTCTCCTAAGGGTGTGAAGGAATCTACTGTTGGAGATGGCCTTCTGCTGATGGTCAACAGGCTTCCTAGATACCCGAAGGATATCTAGGCAAAGGAACGAGTGCACTTGGGGTGACGTTAGTAAAGTGCTACAAAGACAGAGAGTGAATTAATTTTCAGTGTGTGGATCATTGTTTTCCTTTGAATGGCAAGTACTGGAGAAACAGAGGTGAGGATTCAGAAGCCCATAGGTGGTAAGAACGCAAGGGCAGCTAGTGTCTTGAGAATTTCTAGAAAGGGAGATGTACGTGAGCATGTGTTGTATGTGTGTACACGTGTGTTTGTGTATAAAGCTCCTAGGGAAAATGAGAGCTCATATTTGGAGCTGCTTGACAGTAAACAAGAGAAGGAAAAACAAGCAGTGACTGTAATAAAGGGAATAGTAAAGCGAGCAAAGTAGACAGAAAAATTAATAGGAAAAAATAATAAACAAAATGGGTACTTTTGTGAGAGAAGGAGTATTTGAATACAGATTGGGGCCATCTCTAGAAGTGTATAAGGCCAACACGACTCAAATACTACAGGAGCTCAACTGAACATCCTTGAACAAAGCCCTCAAGGACTATTGCTAAAGACAGAAATTTTAGTTAAGTTCTTTACCTATGAGGGAAGGAACAAAAGAAGATAAATTTTCTTGGGAAATCTAGCTCTGAGAGATTGATGGATATAAGGAAGTGATTTGTATAGGTAGTAGAATGTCAGGGAGGAGAGATGTGGAGAAGAATGAAGACTATAGTCCCACGGACTCTCCCACTTATAAGGATGATCCCCCATTGCACGATGTGTGTGATCTGTGGTGCATGTAGAGTATGTATAATTGACATAATAAAATTCCCAGGTGGAGACTACAGAACAGGAACACATGACACAAAACATCTTAAATATATTCAGTGCAAAAAAGAGGAAAACCATTTGGTGATGACTTTATTGCCCATTACTCTGGATTGCCTCCTTTGAAATCTGAGCCTGTAGAGCACAGGTCCTGGGGCCCCAGATACTCTCCACATTGTCTCTGTTTATTTCTTCCAAGGTACGCCAGCCTTCTGTTGCTGAGTATTACATTTCCCTCTCAGCATGTCCCTCCGCTCAGTAAATTGTGATTTTTTTTAACTTATCTCTGGGGCGATTCTTATTTATCCCAAAGTTTAAAAAGAAATACAGTATGAATGATTCATTATCTCAAGATCTGTGTAAGTTTTAAAATGTTTGCAAAAACAGCAGCATGACATCTTTTAGGGCATTAGTGAATCAATTGTGCTTGTCTCTGAAATTTCAGTGTTTTTTCACTTACAATGTAAAGTGATAAGAGATATAAGAACACTTATACTAGTTTCAAATAAGGCTTTATCTCTGGCTCTAGACTACAGGAAGTTAAAAACTTTTATATAAATGTAAAGTATAGAAAAGTAATTGTAATAAGAATTCAAGTTTTCAAACTTCACATTTCCAGAAGTGCAGTTCCAAACTTTGAGTTACAGGGTAAATTACTAGGATATTTTCACTGTGTGTTAGGAAATTAGGAAATTAGGAAAAAAGAAAAAGGCCTGGAAGTAGTTTGTATTCTAGTCTATTTCTCCATTATCAAACTGATCTCGGCTATGTCTGTTCTGGTCTTTAATATTAGCAATAATAGGGAGTCTTAAATCTCCCTTAAAATCTTAATCCAAATTCCACCTGCTTCCACCCAAATCATTTTTATTTATTATAATCTTGGTGGAGATGGAAAACACTAGATTAACACTTTCAATATAAGTGAGGACCAAACGTTTTCTCTTCACTTTTCATCCTCACATTTCCTTGTTTCCTACATACTCATGAACGCTGCACTAAATTCCTTGGTATTCGTGAACATGCTGTGCCCTTTCTCTTTTCCCTTTCTCTTTCTGTGGAGTGCTTTCTCTATCTTGCCACCAGTAGAAAGCGTGCTCAACATTAATGACTGAAACTAAAGGTCATGTCTGTGAAAACATTTCTATCTCATCTTGGGAATCTTTCCCTTGTTCTTGCTCATACAACAAGAGTACCATGTGTATTGTTTGTTTAGATGTCAATATCCCCCACTGGTCCATAAAAATCTCAAGGGCATATTAAATACCTAGAATCTAGCACAGAACCTTGCACATTTTTGAGTACTTAATTAATAAATATATGTATAAATATTTTTCCTAAACAATGGCTTTTCAGCTCCTGCTACATCTATAACTTTTTCCTACCTGCGTATTTACTATAAGATTTTTAAAAAGAGAATATTTTGAACCTTCAATTGAAATAAAAGAAACAAAAGAAAGGAGGAATCCTGTGACTTTTTAAATGTCATATCTTTATTAGTTTGTTTAATCACTTAAGCATTCTAAACAATAAGCACTTTGGTGGGTTCTAGGTGCTCAGTAATGAACAAAACCAAATTCTGACTTTAAGAAGTTTCAAATCTAGTGAAGGAGGCATACCTGACAGAAGTGAGAAGTAATTATAAGATATGAAACACAATAAAGGAATCAAACAATGAAGTGAAATAAAGAATCATTTAATCGGACCTATTAGATCCCATTGTTTGGAAAAGATCTCACTGATGAGATTGCTTTGTAGCTGAGATCCCTAATGGCTCTGCAGCAATTTCTTAATTTAAATTTTAAAATCATTTATACACATACACAAACAATTGCGCACACCTCAAAATTATGGTTAAATTATTATACATTTGCTAGCATGCTCCCTAGGGATCATTCCCTTGATGCCCTTTTGCCGTGTTGATTTATTTCCTTTGGTGAAACATCATTTTTCTTAACTTTTTTTGATTGCCCCCATACCTCTGGGAAGTGGCTTTTTGTCACTTAAATACATTTTAAGTGGTTGTTTAAAAAGTGAATAAATATGATATGAGAAGGAATCTGCAGCTGAGGATATGATCAAGATAAGAAAATGTGCATAGACATTTAAGCATCCTCAAGGTGTGTGTGTGTGTGTGTGTGTGTGTGTGTGTGTTGGGAGGAGAGGTACTTTGGGTTTGGGTAAATCCATGAACAGAAAGATTAATTCGCTAAATAAAATGCAGCTGAGTATAACCAGGTGGAAAATTGCCCATGAACCAGGACAGCAGTATGCACACCCTACTAGTACTCTGTGATTCACTAGAAATGCCCTTGTTTTAGAATAGGGAGTAGCAACAATCATTCTACTGAAATGTCATTGTTCAGTTTATTGTGCAGAGGTCATAAATCTTATTCTCCCCGCTCAGAGAAGGAATCTTAAATAAAACATTCCTTGGATACTTTGGTCCTTTGGACTTTATGTTTGGAGGTTTCTCTGCTAAGAATACATATAGAGCTTCTCAAAAACCTAGTGGAAGAAGAATTGTAGAAAACTGTATGCTACCAAGTTACCATGTTACTATCACTTGGGGATGTGTTTAAAGTAAAATGAATTAGAGCCTGAATTAGCAGTCTCCATGGCATACACCCTTAGACTGGAATAATATCACTTGTATTTCTTGGTTGCAATAGCACGTTTACGAAGACTAAAGTCTATTCTCTATGACATATGTCATCCATGGTATGTTATTAATGCTGATTACATAATTGTAAATGAATGAAGGAATTATTTTGGAGTGTCTCATAAGTGTCACTTGATGATATTAATTCTCCTACCTAGTCAGGTATATAAATAAATGTTTTTCTACATACTTAGAAAGGTATCCATCCAAATAAATCAATAAGACCAACTGTTAGAGAGATCCGAGCATTTAGTTTGAAATACAAACCAGATAGGCCTGTCTTGCTTTATTCCTTGCAAGATATATCATCCTGCAATCATTTCTCCATATGTGTAAGTGAAGCTTTATGAACCCTCACTTTAATAACAATGTTTGTCCCCTTTATAAAAAATGTGTCCATCGTTGTGACATTATTTATCCTACATATGGCTCAGAAATAATGTTAAATGGTTTGTTGATAGTTTAACAAATATTGTATGAGATTTTGGAGATAACTTCTATAGATTCTTTGGAGAATGAAAATCTATCAAGTGCTCCTAATCATGATGGAGTAATGGAAGGGAACCAGATAACACACTCATTCTTTTTGCTTTTCCTTTCCTGCTCCCTTTCCACTTCCACTGACGCCAATCCCACCTTTGCATTCATTTTGTAAAGCTGTTAACAGAAATAGAAATGAATTATAGGTTGGACAATCTTAAGGGAATTTGCATTAGATCCCTGATTGATTAAATATACAAAGTGACCTTATGGACAATATCACGATTTTTGCCTAATCCACACAATATCTTTATTTTCTCATGTTTGGCAGCTCCTACCCAGTCTGTCAGAGGGAAAATATAAAGAAATCCGTTTTGATTAACACCTGCAGCTGTTTTTATTTATCGAGCACAAGTTTTTGTTATGCTCATATCTCATCGATTCTTCAACAAATATATAGAGAGCAACTACTATATACTATGCATGAGGACAACTGTGGGAGCATAGTTTCAACAGATTGGATCAGATCAGCATGGAGCTTACACGTATCCTGAATCTCTCACACCATCTTCGTGAAGCCCCTCCGCAGGGTAGATGTCATTATTCCTATCCTATCCTCATTCAGAGCTCCAGAAAGGTATGCTTAGGTCATGTAAAGTAAGAACGTAATGAGTTTCAGTTAAACTTTATACTCAGTTGGTCCATCAATGTTCTGGGCTGAATGTGTACCCCCAAATTAGTATATTGAAGTCCTGATCCCAAGTACATCAGAATGTAACTGTGTTAAGAGATAGTCTTTAAAGGTGAAATGAGATCTTTATAAGTGGACTCTGATCCAATATGACTGGTGTCTTTATAAGAAGACGAAATTCAGACACAGACATACACAGAGGAAAGATCACATGAAGACACAAGGAAAACATGGCCACCTACAAGCCAAGGACAGAAGCCTCTGAAGAAACCAATCCTTTTTACACCTTGATCTCTAAATTTTAGTCTCTAGAACTGTGAGAAAACAAATTTATGTTGTTTAAGCTATCCAGTCTGTAGTACTTTGTTATGGCAGCCATGGCAAACATTAGAGTAGCCGTCAAGAAGATACTTCAATCTCGTGACCTTATTTGCAATAGGATTTTTGCATACATAATTCAATTAAGTATCTTAAGTTGTTCTCAACCTGGATTAACATGAGTTCTAAATGCAATGAATGTCTTTAAAATGGGAGAGAAGCCAGGGAGGAGGAGGAGAGAGCCAAGTGAAGACAGAGACGGGGTTTGGAGTTATGCCGCCACAAAATAAAGCGTGCTTGGAGCCACTGGCAGCTGGAGGAGGTAAGGAAGGATTCTCTCTTGGAGATTTCAGAGTGTTTGTCCCTGAAGATAACTTCATGTTGTACTTTTGGACTCCAGAATAGTGAGAGAACAGTTTTCTGTTGTTTTAGGTCACCTAATGGGTGGTAATTTGTTACAGCAGCCCTAGTATAAAGAAGCGTGGATTCCTTACCTAAAGAATGCCTCTTCTGTATTCCCAAGCCCAGACTCCACTGCACTATGCTGCCTCTCATTCTGCTGTACTCTGATCATGGACATTTCTAGAGAAGTGACCAGAAGTGAAACGTTAAACTTCCAAATGTGAATGCTGATTTTCTATATGTCTTTAGGCTTTGCCAGCAAAACATCCCCTTTTTGAAAATAATTTGTGGACATTTTATTTCCTAGTATATGTTTTTAGTGAGATCTTCATACTGTTATTTGCCTCAATGCTAAAATTCCCAATTTAGTCTAGACACAAGGTAAGCCTGTTGTAAGTATATTAGATAAAAAGCTAAAACCATTTCTGACTGTGCAACAAGTCTTTTCTTCAGTATTCCCAATTTCTTCCATGACTATGACATGTCAACTCAAGTATTTTCTGATCCTTAAATGACTTAATACCTACTTTGAGAGATTTATATAAGTAGAAATATTCTGAAAGTCAAGCAGAATGTCTATACATATACAATGTTATATCATTTTTTTAAAATTTTGCACTCTAATTAAGGATTTGCCTAGAGAATAAGCCATTGTCATAGCCTTAATCTCAAGAAGAAACTGACAGGTGGCAGTGATCAGACTTACATTTGCCACTCCAGTTTTTAAAGAGGCAAAATATGGATGGTGACAAAAGGTCTCTCAACTCCCACTATTCTTTCCATAATGGCATCTTATACTTCATGAGATTTTCTTAGCAAGGTAAAGCACACATAATCAGGATCAAACTGGACATGCTATGGTTCTGATTAGCTGGCTACTAACTGCAATGTCAATGAATAGAAAAGTCAATAGGAGTACGTGCAATCCAAGTTTCCCACCTTAATTATATGAAGAATCCTTTTATATTAGAACTTGATAAGTGATATTTCTGGAAACTGACACCATCAAGGCTGGAAGTTGGCCCTAGAAAGTTTCCTGGAGTATGTTAGGATAGAGAAAGAATAGATCTGAATAGAAGACAGGTCATGTAGCTGCTCCATGTACTCATAAGCTTAAACTGGGATAACATCTAGGAATAGTGCAGAATTGTCAGTCCCCATCAACTTTAGGCATAGGTCAATGAAGTCTATTCCTATCATTGATCAATCAGTTTTCAAAAACCATGAGAATTTCTGATATACTAGGATTCTGATTTCTTTATGATTTAGTAGACCTACATGACTCTCCGTGTGTTACCTGTGGGCTCATGTTGAACACACGTGATAAGACATGGTCTACAAAGAGCAACTTGAGGAAAATAAATACGTATAATATTGACATGATGTAAAATCCAACTTCAATTTAATCCTTCACTTTTGTTGCTGATGAAATGGGATTTAGAAAGATAAAATGGCAGAGCTATGACAGGAACATAGTGGCTCTGAAATCAGGTCCAGTGTATGTTGTGGCAGCCAACAGTCTACTCAACCAAATTTATTCCCCCGAAGCACTGAACCAGTTACAGAGAATGTAATTCCTTATTCTACCGGGAGTCATGTCTTAAAGCACTATTTATGCCTGTTCCTACAAATCATGGAACATTTTCAGAAATTAACACTTATTTAAAATCTAAAATGTAAGACAATGATCTTTTGTAGTCCAATCAACTGAAACAATTATGACAACCTGAAATAATTTATACTAATATGTATTTTTTTGCTGTTTTCCACTAGTTTTTTTACAGTGAAACATATACTGCAATCATAAAATGCTGTCAGTTTAGAGGTTATTTTTTTTTTAATTTTTTTTCAACGTTTTTTATTTATTTTTGGGACAGAGAGAGACAGAGCATGAACGGGGGAGGGGCAGAGAGAGAGGGAGACACAGAATCGGAAACAGGCTCCAGGCTCTGAGCCATCAGCCCAGAGCCCGACGCGGGGCTCGAACTCACGGAACGTAAGATCGTGACCTGGCTGAAGTCAGACGCTTAACCGACTGCGCCACCCAGGCGCCCCTAGAGGCTATTTTTATGTAAATAAATCCTTTTGTAAGAAATTGGTAAAATTATTTAGAGAGGCAAACATGAAACTCAAGGTTCATCTCATTGAATTTCCAAAGCTTGATAGGACAGAAATTCCATTTTTGTATTGTGGCCTGGGTACCATTTACCAACAATGTATGGAAAAGAAAAAAAAAAAATAAAAAAAAAAAAAAAAACACGTTTCAACAGATTTTTGAAAAGCAGTTACAAGCTTAGGAAAAAAAATATTTACACATAATTTCACATTTATCTTTAGTAAAAAGTAGCAGCGAGTGAAATGATGAAAATTCATGCCATAATTTCAGCAGCCATTTATGCTAAAATGAAAAATATAATAAGTAAAACTGTCGTGAATATGAATGACATTTTTATAAACAATTTGTCAAAAAGAAGAAACAGTGAACCCTGGAAATTTTAATTTATGTTATAAGTTGTCCTTAAAATTCATATTATGAGTTTTAAATATAAATGCATTTGAAAGTTGGACATTCTTCTCCTGTAACTGCTTTGCTCCAAATAGTGATGGTACAGTGAGCCAGCAGACCAGAATCACAGGGAGAGTTGAAAATGATCACGGCGTGAAGAAAATATCACTCTTATAGTTTCTGCTTGTAAACCTAGGAATAAATCATAGTAGAATGTCAAGAGATAAAAGAAAGAAGGAGTCTCAATGGGAAAATAAAATATATATTGTTTCTGTTGAAAATAAATTTACAAGACAAAGAATATTTGAGTAAGGACTGCAAAGAAGCATAAATGAAAATCTGTGCTTTTTAATTTTTTTTTTTTTATTTTTACATCTTCAATGTTCCACAGTTCTCTGGTCCCTGTATTTTTTATTGCTGTTTCTTTTTTTTTTTTTCCACAAGGTGTTTTGGCCTCATTTAAGTGATTTCCTGATTGACAGATTTATCTGTGATTTGGAGAACACTGCACAACACGAGAGCATTAGGGGATTCAGTGAGCAGGTGTTAAACCTATTGCAGAGAATATTTCTCTTTATCAACCTCTAATCTTCTGACTTCAGAATTTTTAAACAGATGTTTTAGACAGACTTTCTCTACTTTTTGTGTTTCCATGGGGTTGTCTCTCACCTGCTTAATTGCTTCTTTGCCAAATGAAATAACACAAAAAGAACACGAAATACACATTCTCACTTCCCCTGTGAAGAAAGTTTCCTATTTGATTTTCTACACTTTTGTTAATTTTCCTTTGAAGGGTGGAGAGTTAGTGATAGAGCTGAAATGACTTTATTTATTGGATTTTTAAAACTTGAATATACTATCTTCCCACCCTCCCCAAGTTTGCAATTTTCTGTTTACAGAGTTTCCTCAATACCACAGGTCTTTTGCCAATATTTTTCCTTTGTGCAAATTTCCTGATCCAAGTTTGACAACAGGCTGGAAACAAGAATAGTTAGCACAATTATAGGCACATTGAAAACCTGGATTTAAGAAGCTGATGGGAACAGTGGAATAGAATACCTATTTAGGACAAAGGGGACTATATGTCATGTGTATTTGGGTTCTTGGTAAGATATCATATAGAAATTACATGTCTATGAATGTTTGGCACACTAGTGGGGTAGACCTACCAGAGTTTTATGTATATGCATTAACCGTGATATGCTTCTTGGGGCAATTATTTTAAAACAAGAAATACTCAAGTATAATGCCCTTGTGTGCACAAGAAAGCCTTAGACATAGAAGTGGAGTAGTGAAGCTGGATGTACCATGGTACCATCATCAGCCTAATTCCTTGATCCGACCACAGTGAAACAGATTCTTTATGCTTCTCAGATGGAACCTAAGAAGGAATGTCTGTGAAAGATAATCTGCTCAGATACCGAACACTGGCAACAATTGTTATTTCTTTGAGACTTCATTACTGTAAAGTTTATTATTATAAAGGCTTTTCTGCACAGGAATCACCAGCACGTTGGAAAGAAGCAATACCAGGAGGGAGATTTAGGCTACCTGGATGAAATTATGGTACCAGATGGACTTTTTATAGAAATACTTGCTGAAGATGTTGATGGTTAATTTTATGTATCAACTTGACTGGACGAAGGGATGCCCAAATAGTTGGTAAAGCATATTTGTGTGTGTCTGTGAGGGTGTCACTAGGAATGAATTAGAATTTGAATCAGTAGACTGGGTAAAGAAGATGGCATCACAAATGTGGGTGGGCATCATTCAAATCATGCAGAGTCTGAATAAGCAAAAAGGTGGAAGGAGGGCAAATTTACTTCCTGCTTGAACTGAGACATTCATTTTCTTCAGTCCTTGAACATCGGGTGTTCTTGGTTCTTAGGCTTTCAGACCCATACTGGGACTTACACCATATCTCCCCATCCCTGCCACCAGAGCTTTGGATACATACAGAATTACGTTACCAGCTTTTCTGGTTCTCCAGCTGCAAATGAGAGACTGTGGAACTTCTTGTCCTCCACAACTGTGTGTATTAATTCTCATAATCTCTTCCTGTATTACTTATCTATATCTTATTGGTTCCTTTTTTCTGGAGAGTTCTAATACAGTGATCCTGTAGAAAGTCAAAGATTCTCAACTAGCGTTGAGGGAGAGGGTTATTGAAATTTAAATTTCATCGGGGTCGGGGCTGGGTGGCTCAGTCTTTAAGTAGCCGACTTTGGCTCAGGTCATGATCTCACGGTTTGTGGGTTCGAGCCTCGCATCCGGTTCTGTGCTGACAGCTCGGAGCCTGGAGCCTGCTTTGGATTCTGTGTGTGTGTGTCTCTCTCTCTGCCCCTCCATCGCTTGTGCTCTATCTCTCAAAAATTATAAACATTAAAAAAAAGAAATTTAAATTTCATCATAGAGTTGTACAATATGAATGCCAACCTCCTTTTAATATCTCTTCTTTGGTCAGGCTGGAATACTAAATGCTAACTTTCCCAGACACCTGTGTCCCTGAAGTTATAAAATGTAATTTTGATTCTGCAATCAAGTACAATGAGATGAGAAATGGAATGTGGGGCAGAAATGACCTGGTTATAAAACTAATACCGGTAGTCTTACTTTCCTGAATTAGCTGAGGATTTGTGATTGTTACAGAAAACAAACAATGCTATTTCTGTCCAACTTTGTAAAGTGGCCTTGATAGTATGCCTGTTATGAGCTCATCCTTGAATCTGTGTCTTCACCTTTCTCATTCTTCTAAAATGCAATTAATACCCTGAAAATCACCTTTTGTTTAACTAGTTATAGAAGTAACAAGTCTATGAAACTGAACTCTGATCAATATAATCAGTAGGTGTAACTCCATCACTTCCTACAAGTTGCCAAGGGATGAGGAAAATTAGATTACAGATGGCAGAGAGAAACCAAAGTGGATTGAGCTGTCACAATGAGGTAATTATAAAGAGGTAAGGTCGAGCACGGGCAAAAGTCACAGGGGAGCTTACACACCCCCCAAATATTTCACCTGTTTTCTGAATGAACTATTATCTTTGGATATTTGGAGCCTTCAAATATTTATTCTGTCTTCACTGGAGGGTGTTGATATCACCAAAATCCATCCTTGATAATGCCAACAAGCATACTTAGCATCTCTGATATGCACAGTTCCTCATGATCCTAACTTTAGAGACCCCTCTCTACTCTGAATGCAATGACCAGTTCTCATTACCCATCAGAAACATTTCAATCTATTTTTTTTAATTTTTTAAAATATTTTTCATTTTTGAGAGTGAGAGAAACAGAATGTGACCAGGGGAGGGTCAGAGAGAGAGAGGGAGACACAGAATCTGGAGCAGGCTTCAGGCTCCAGGCTGTCAGCACAGAGCCTGATGTGGAGTTGGAACTCATGGGCCATGAAATCATGACCTCAGCTGAAGTCAGATTCTTTTTTTTTTTTTTTAATGTTTATTTATTTTTGAGAGAGGGAGAGTGTGAGCCAGGGAGGGACAGAAAGAAAGGGAGACACAGAATCCAAAGCAGGCTCCAGGCTCTGAGCTGTCAGCACAGAGCCTGACGTGGGGCTTGAACTCATGAGCAGTAAGATCATGACCTGGGCTGAAGTCAGATGCTTAGCCGACTGAGCCACCCAGGTGCCCCAGAAAAACATGAATGTAAAATGTCATCTATCCTCTTTATTTCACAGTAATCCCTTCTATACATTAAGCTTAATCTTTGACACCAATACTGGTTTTTTTGTTTGTTTTTCTCTTCCCCCTTTGTAAGCTCACAGGCTACAATGCTTTGATGACCTGATTTGCTTTTCAGCATACATCAGATAGTCAGGTATCCTAACTGTGCCCTTTCCTATAAGGGATTATAGCATAATGTAGGTCATGAAACTAAGATTATATTATGCAATTTTAATTAAAGGAGTGATAAGGGAATTTTCAATTTGTTGAGGACAAATTGACCTATCAAATGTTGAATGAGCCCTCATTAATCTATATTTGAGTTCACTTATATTTGATATACACTTCAATAGTCTATTTTATTCTTTGCAAGTCCAAGAAAATCTATGACACTTCTCTTTATTCCTAAGAGATCATATGTCTGTCTAACTCCCCAAGATCAGGATATTTGAAGTGAGCTTCTCCTCTTCCTTTCTATGATCATATCTATATCACACATTCTCTCCTGCCTAACGTTAATTTCCCATCAGAGTTCATGATCATTTCTCCTTCCTTTTCCTCTGGAATCTTCTGATTATCACCTTCCTCATTTACATTTTTAACTGC